GTATATATATGTGGTTATATATATATGTATATATATGTGTGTATGAGTATATATATGTATGTATGTGTGTATATATGTGTGTGTGTGTATATATATATATATATGTGTGTGTGTGTGTGTGTATATATATGTATGTATGTGTGTATATGTGTGTGTGTGTGTATATATATATGTGTGTGTGTGTGTGTGTGAACATGAGGAAGAATTTCCTGACTGTGAGAGCCGTTCAGCAGTGGAACTCTGTGCGGTGGAGGCTCCTTCTTTGGAAGCTTTTAAACAGAGGCTGGATGGCCATCTGTCAGGGGTGCTTTGAATGCAATATTCCTGCTTCTTGGCAGAATGGGGTTGGACTGGATGGCCCATGAGGTCTCTTCCAACTCTTTGATTCTATGATTCTATGTGTGTGTATGAGTATATATATGTATGTATGTGTGTATATGTGTGTATATATATGTGTGTGTGTGTGTGTGTATATATATATATATGGCTGGGGTTACATTTAAAAATGTTCACGTTCTGATGAACACACAAACCCAAAAATTGTTCCTGTTCTGACTTAAGATACAAATCCAACTGAAGAACCAACCTACAGGGCCTCTCTCTCTCTCTCTCTCGTTCGTAAGCGGTGTCAACCCGCGTCAATCCCGCGGCGTAGACCCGTCCTTCTCACCTTCCAGCCGGCGGAGCTGTTGCTGTCTCCCTTGTCGCGGAAGTAGGGCACGGAGCGGACCATCCACTCGTAGATCTGGGCCAGGGTCAGGCGCTTCTCCGGGGCGCTCTCGATGGCCTGGCTGATGAGGTCGGCGTACGACTGGCTGCCCCAGGCGTTACGACGCGCCCCGCCGCCGCTGCTGCTGCTGTTGCCGGTGCTCTTGCGGGGCGCGGGCCCCACTCCTCCTCCTCCTCCTGGTCCTGCTCCTCCTCCTATTCCCGCCGCGGCGGCGACTCCAGGCTCCTCGGGGCTGCCTAGGCCGCTCCCGGCCCCGCCGCCTGCCTCTGCTTCGGGCCCCGCCGCCGCTTCGGGCCTGGGCAGCGGCCAAGTGCAGGAGCGCGGCCGGCTCTGAGGGGGGAACTCCGGGTCCAAAGCGGGCGGCGTTGTCGGCGGCGGCGGAGAGGAGCTGTTCCGCGCCGCCTCCGCCATCTTGGCGCCGCTTTCTCCCTCAGCGACGCATCCCTGGAACTCACCCCCTCCCCGAAAAAAAAACAACAATGGTACAATCCAAATCGACGAAACCTCTTCTCTCCCCCCCCCCCTCCGAGGTGAGATGGTCCCGTCCGGGCCTACTTCCGCCTTTCCTGGCTTAGGCCTCTCCCTCACTGCCAGCCAACTCAGCCGCCTGCCTCAGCGGGGTTCTGTTTACCCGAGACGTCGGGGAAGTGCGCATGCGCGCCCTCGGGACTCCATTGGGATACTTATTTAACTGCGCGTGCGCGTCCTGGGATGGGCGGAGCCTCTCGGACTCGGCGGGACAAGTGAGGAACTGCGCCTGCGCGTCATTGAGAGGCATTATTTACCACAGGATTTTCGGGGTCAAGCTTTTCCGGAACTGCGCATGCGCAATCGTAGAGGGCGGAACCTCTTGGCCTCGGCGGGACAAGTGAGGAACTGCGCCTGCGCATCGTTGGGAGGCATTATTTACCACAGGATTTTCGGGAACTGCGCATGCGCGATCGTAGAGGGCGGAGCCTCTCGGCCTCGGCGGTACAGGCTGCGGGACAAGAGACGAACTGCGCCTGCGCATCGTTGGGAGGCATTATTTACCACAGATTTTCGGGAACTGCGCATGCGCGATCCTAGAGGGTGGAACCTCTCAGCCTCGGCGGTACAGGCTGCGGGACAAGAGACGAACTGCGCCTGCGCATCGTTGGGAGGCATTATTTACCACAGATTTTCGGGAACTGCGCATGCGCGATCCTAGAGGGTGGAACCTCTCAGCCTCGGCGGTACAGGCTGCGGGACAAGAGACGAACTGCGCCTGCGCATCGTTGGGAGGCATTATTTACCACAGATTTTCGGGGTCAAGCTTTTCCGGAACTGCGCATGCGCGATCCTAGAGGGCGTAACCTCTTGGCCTCGACGGTATTCTGAGAGGGGAGATGTGCGCGTGCGCGTTACGGCTGTTCCTCTCTCTAGACACTCTTCCGCTCTTCTGGTTCAGGACGCCCTCCCCTGTCATCTTTGAGATGTTGCTTTTTATTCAGGACTAGCCGTCCCCTGCCACACGTTGTTGTGGCTCAGATGGGGGTTCTGTGAGGGAGGTTTGGCCCAATTCTATCGTTGGTGGGGTTCAGAATGCTTTTTGATTGTAGGTGAACTATAAATCCCAGCAACTACAACTCCCAAATGTCAAGATTATAATTTCCCCAAACTCCACCGTTGTTCACATTTGGGCATATTGAATATTCGCGTAGAGTTTGGTCCAGATCCATTATTGTTTGAGTGCACAGTGTTCTCTAATGTAGGTGAACTACAACTCCAAAACCAAAGGACACTGCCAACCAAACCCCTCCAGTATCTTCTGTTGGTCATGGGAGAACTGTGTGCCAAGTTTGGTTCAATTCCATCATTGGTGGGGTTCAGAATGTTCATTGATTGTATGTGAACTGTAAATCCCAGTAACTACAACTCCCAAATGTTAAGATTCTGTTTTCCCCAAACTCCACCAGTTTTCACATTTCAGCATATTGAGTATTCGTATAGAGTTTGGTCCACTTCCACAGTGTTCTCTAGATGTAGGTGAACTACAACTCCAAAACCAAAGGACATTGCCCACCAAACCCCTCCAATATTTTCTGTTGGTCATGGGAGAACTGTGTCACCTTTGGTTCAATTCCATCATTGGTGGTGTTCAGAATGCTCTTTGATTGTAGATGAACTATAAATCCCAAGAACCACAACTCCCAAATGACAAAATTAATGTTTTTTTTTTAGTGAAGGACATACATTGGGTTGTTAAGTGTATGCTGTCCAAATTTGGTATCAATTCGCCCACTGGTTTTTGAGTTCTGTTAATCCCACAAATGGACATTACATTTTTATTTATATAGACTAGCTGCCCCCTGCCACGCATTGCTGTGGCCCACATGGGGGTTCTGTGTAGGAGGTTTGGCCCAATTCTATCGTTGGTGGGGTTCAGAATGCTCTTTGACTGTAGGTGAGCTATAAATCCCAGCAACTACAACTCCCAAATGTCAAGATTCTATTTCCTCCAAACTCCACCAGTGTTCACATTTGGGCATATTGAGTATTGATGCCAAGTTTGGTCCAGATCCATTATTGTTTGAGTCCACAGTCATCTTTGGATGTAGGTGAACTACAACTCCAAAACCAAAGGACACTGCCCACCAAACCCTTCCAGTATTTTCTGTTGGTCATGGGAGTCCTGTGTGCCAAGTTTGGTTCAATTCCATTGTTGGTGGGGTTCAGAATGCTCTTTGATTGTAGGTGAACTATAAATCCTAGCAACTACAACTCCCAAACGACAAAATCAATTTTTTTTAGTGAAGGACATACATTGGGTTGTTAGGTGTGTTGTGGCCAAATTTAGTGTCAATTCGTCCAGTGGTTTTTGAGTTCTGTTAATCCCGCAAACGAACATTACATTTTTATTTATATAGATTAACTCCTTCCTCATCCATTTAATCCAGTTAATAGATTAAATCTACATACATTTGCATTTGGAGTCGGATTTTTTTTTTTAATTTAAAAAGCTGCATTGAAGAGGAGGACAAATAGTATATACCTTTCCCCTTTTTATTAGGCTCCTGGTTTTTACTCTGAAGGTTTGGGAGCTTTCCAAGGTGCTGAACCTATTTTGGAGGGTCGAAGCACTCTTGAGGCATCGGGAGCTGGATGGCCATCTGTCAGGAGTGCTTTGAATGCAGTTTTCCTGCTTCTTGGCAGAATGGGGTTGGACTGGATGGCCCATGAGGTCTCTTCCAATTCTTTGATTCTATGACCTGGCAACACTCTCTCCATGTCTTGCTGGAGTCTTCCTTGCAGGATCTTCAGCATTACCTTACTGGCATGTCAATAAGGGCCACTGTACCAAAGTTTAAGCATTCTTTAGCGTTTCCCTTTTATGGTATGGGGATATAAATTGATTTTTTCCAGTCTGATGGCCATTCTTGTGTTTTCCATATTTGCTGGCATATGGCATGCAACAACACTTTGACAGCATCATGGATAGTTCTCCATTATACATTATCGCTGTCTAAGTGCCAGCCCGGGAGCATGGATAGCTGTTCTTTCTGCAGGAAGAGGGCGGTGTATTATGATGCCATTCAGATTTCTGGGCGGATCGAGTCCTACGTCCCGGACCATGAATGATTAATGTTTCTCAATCGGGCTGTCAATGCCATACTTTATGCTAATCCTTTTTGCGGGGTTCTGACTTTCTGGTGCCCCGGATCATGAGTAATTAATGTTTATTCTCCTTGCAGGGCACATTTTTCCGAGGCCCCTGAACACGAAGATTAATGTTTCTTCATGGAGAGATAATACGATACATTATACTAAACCTAGTTACGGGGTTCTGACTTTCAGATGCCCCAGAAGGTGAATGATTAATGTTTCTTCATGGAGAGTCAATACGATATATTATACTCATCCTAGTTGCGGGGTTCTGACTTTCCGATGCCCCAGAACATGAATGATTAATGTTTCTTCATGGAGAGTCAATACGTTATATTATACTAATCCTAGGTATGGGGTTGTGAGTTTCCGATGCCCCAGACCGTGAATGATTAATGTTTCTTCATGGAGAGTCAATACGATATATTATACTAAACCTAGTTACGGGGTTCTGACTTTTCATGGAGAGTCAATACGATATATTATACTAATCCTAGTTACAGGGTTCTGACTTTTCGATGCCCCAGAACATGAATGATTAATGTTTCTTCATGGAGAGTTAATACGATATATTATACTAAACCTAGTTACGGGGTTCTGACTTTCCGATGCCCCAGAKGCTGAATGATTAATGTTTCTTCATGGAGAGTCAATACGATATAGTATATTAAACCTAGTTACGGGGTTCTGACTTTCCGATGCCCCAGAACGTGAATGATTAATGTTTCTTCATGGAGAGTCAATACGATATATTATACTAAACCTAGTTACGGGGTTCTAACTTTCCGATGCCCCAGAACGTGAATGATTAATGTTTCTTCATGGAGAGTCAATACGATATATTATACTAAACCTAGTTACGGGGTCCTGACTTTCCGATGCCCCGGATCATGGGTGACTGATGTTTCTCCMCTGCCCGGCCAATGCTAAAGTGTATGCTAATCCTCGTTGCGGGGTTGGAGCGCTCTCTTACCCGGGACCATGGATTCAGAGTGGGATTATGCAGGGCGGAAACGACGCGGTTGCTCTCCGCCCAGATTCCGGGGCGGTGCCATGTATTGCGGCGCCGAAGAGGAGGAGGAGGAGAAGAAGGTGGTTGCTGTGGCGGCAGTGGCGGCAGGAGGGCGGTTTCCGCTGAGGCGGCGGCTCCGGCGGCTGTGAGCGCGGCCTAGTCCCTTCCTGCCTGCCTGCCTCCCTCCTTTCCTTCTGGCGGCGCCATGTCGGAGGCGACGGTGGCGGACACGCGGCGCCTGAACTCGAAGCCGCAGGACCTGACGGACGCCTACGGGCCGCCCAGCAACTTCCTCGAGATCGACATCTTCAACCCGCAGACCGTGGGCGTCGGCCGCGCCCGGTACACCAGCTACGAGCTCCGCATGCGAGTAAGGAGGGGCCCCCTCCGGGAGGGGAGGGCTCAACTACAAAGGCCATCATCCCCCATTCAACCCTCCTGGCTAGGCTACAATTGCCATCATCCTCTCTCCATTAAGACTACAATCTTAATTAAGATTAAGGGATGGACTACAATTGCCATCATTCCCTTCCCTGACAGAAAGGGTTTGAATGGAGGGGATGATGGCAATTGTAGTCTAGCTAGAAGGGTTGAATGGGGGATGATGGCCTTTGTAGTCCACCCCTTCCCTGACAGCACTGGAGAGAGGATGGACTACAATTGCCACTCCAATAAGCCCCATTATGGAAGGGAAGGGCTGGACTACAACTGCTATCATCCTCTCTCCATTACGACCCATGCTGCCAGGGAATAGCTGGACTACAATTGCCATCACCCCCCATGTTAAACTCTTCTGACAGAACTACAGTTGCCATCATCTTCTCCATTAAGCCCCATTCTGACAGGGAAGGGTTAGCTAGAAATGCCATCTCCCCTTATAGCTGGACTACAGTTGCCATCATCTTCTCCATCACACCCCATT